TCGAACCACAGATCAAGATGGAAGAACTTGAATAAGCAACAAGTCAAAGGCTTGCTTGAGCATAATATCTGAAAATCTAAACAAAATTTTAATCTGGCAACTCAAAGACACTATTTCCGGCGTCTAATTTCCATGTTGCTGCCAAACTTTATAAACAAGCTTAAGACCCAAATACACTTTAGCATACCAGAGCAGAGGCATAGCCAAGTACAGTATGTACTTTCTAATGGTGAAAAAACCTGCAAAACTATTTCTACATAAACACCAAAGCCTGGCATCGTTTCATCATGCACTGTCTCCTTCAAATACAAGTATGCCATGATTTCTCTGCCTGTCACCAATCTTGTCACGGATTGTTTATATCCAGAGGAGGTAATCTGTGTGCTTTGGGCAGGACAGCCTGAATCTGACACAAAACAATGGCTATGTTATCTTCCCTATAAATTACGAATTGGAATTGGAAGACAAGACAAACAGGTTTCTCCAACATTTCTTCCTTCCTATACCAAACTGAACCAAAGTGGCTGTGGCTATGATTTCCCCCATCCGGTCTCTAGCTTTTGCCCCCATCTTCACCAGGGTTGGATCACCAGGGTTGATAACCAGGGCTGGCAGTTAACTTCTGTCCCACTGATTGCTGAACTGAGGCTGCTGCACTTGCCTTGTGTCTGCTGGGAGGTCCCCACACTTGGCTCCTCATTCCATCTAGCCAGGAGATTCCCCATTGCCAGGGACTCAGCCAGCCACTTCCTTGCTAACACATGGTGAAGACAAGAAGAACATTTAAAAAAAAAAAAAAAAAAGAGTGACAGAAAACACTGGGGAAAAGTAATGAAAGTAATGGAGAAAAGGAGAGGATAAAGACATGACAAAGCATACATAAATTCTAAACTTTGGGTTGGGTTTTTTTGATGACATGAAGGAAGTACAACTCCTTTCTTAAATATTGATCTACACAATGCAATCCTTAGAGAACACCTACGCCATGAAAGGTGCCATGAATAAGGTGTGGGCTAGGAAAATGTATCAGAAAGAACAGATTTGACTCTCACATTTTTCCTTTTTTTTTTTTTCCTTGTGTTTCTCACTATTTCACTCAAATGCTTGAACAAAATAATGGAAAGCATTCTTTCCCACAGTTTAACATTCTCACTTTTTAGCTAAGTTGAGACAATACTGTATCATCAGCAAGCTTCACTAACAAAACTTCAGTAAAAGTCAGGGAAATTCAAAATTTTCAAAAGGATGCAAACAATGAAGTAAAGAAATTTTCCAGCTTCTTGTCTTCTTGTTTTAATTAGATCATCGAAACAATAAACACAAATCTTTACATGCCTACACAGTTCAGCTCCAAAGAACAACAAAGGAAGAGAACAGCAGTTGTAACTGAATGATATAGCTGTTGCAATCTGTTAACGAGCAAAATAACATCATAAGGGCTTTATTTCCGTCTGGAATGTACACTATGAAACCTTGAAATGGTATCATAGGTTGTTTTATACAGCAGTCCCAAAGCTAGGCTCTGTACTTAGTCATTTATTTTGCACCACTCTGTCCCTGACTGTTCTTTCGTGTGTGACAGGTGTCAGGCAGGTCCAAAAGCCTTTCAGAACTTTATATCCCCCAAAAGCAATCTGTTAATTCTAAGGGGAAAAGACCAACAACAGCAACAACAAAGAAAGAAAGAAAAAGCAGGGATTCTGGTAAACTAAGTCATGATCTTCCATGTTTTCCTACTTTGTAGTGACAGGTTTCTCTCTCTTAGACTAAAAAAGCGACCACTCAAACTGTGCAGTGACAGCAGAGGCTGCCGAGTCCCGTGGTGATACCAAATCCCACGGCAGCATTTCCTCCCATTTGCTGCATTCACACCAAAGCCTCCGTAAAAATGCCCGAAAAAAACGCTCTCCCGAGCTGCGCACACACCTCGCGGCAGCCTCCCAGCGCTAAACCTTCGGCATATGCCCATAATCCGAGAGAGGCTGTGCAGCGTGCTTGCCTCTCACACTCATCTTTTCAATAAATAACAGACAACCTCTGGCTTTCAAACATTTCGAACTGCTTCGTTCCTCCTTCCTGATCGCTATAAACAGAACCGCTCCGCCGCCGTGTGCCAGCAGCGGCTGCCCTGCCGGCAGCAGCTCGGAGAAAACCTCTTTCCAGGATGATGGAAGGATTTGTTTGTTTATGCGTTTTACCTGGAACGAATTGCATCAAAGAGGAGAGCAAATGCCGCAAATTAGAACTCAGGATGCTGACGGCTGACAAAACGATTTTGGAAAACATACTCTGCTCGGAAGAAGGCATCGGATCGGAGGTGGTGCGGGAGGAGAGCGGGGCCGGGGCGGCAGCGCGCAGCGGGGCGCAGAGGGTTGCACCGAGCTGCCTGACATCATCGTTTCAGAATAAGAGCCGTGGCAGGACGCCAGGCAGGGCTGGAGGATGCGCTGCAGCTCCGCTGTGCCGCGCACGGCCGGGCCGCATCCCGCAGGCACCGAGCAGTGAAAGCATCCATCGCCGCGGGGAAACGTGCTGGAGCCGGGGAAGAAAGGGAGCGCATCCGTGTGCGGGTAGCCAGGTAAAAACTTTTGTCAGTTTTCCTCGGCTTTTTCCACTTGACAAAATATTTTGGTTTGTGTCAAAAATGGCAATTTTGCACCTCAGAGATCTCAGGACTTCAGGAGCACTGTTTGAGAGACAAGAACACCAAAACAGGCAGGGCCGGACCAGAGGTGCGCTGCGTCCTGCTGCTTCGTGTTAAGGTGAACCCATCCCTTTCCCTCGGAAAGAGAAAAGTGCTGCCGTTGTGTGAATGCCCTGCTGTGGCCTTGTCATTCTCCTAAATCATTCAGGATATTACAGAACAAACCAGGCTTGAGGCAGATCCCTAAAGAACGCCACCCAAGCTGACCTTTCAGGAAATATGAGAATGATTCCTCTGATTAACTTCTAATCTCCCCTGCAGCCCCTGTTTCCTGATGGCTCCTATTTATATATAACAGAATGCACAAGTGTCGGTTACCTTACACCAAGCTATAACACTCTCTTCCATCCCTGTTGTCACATATATATTCAGTTAGCAACTCTGACTAAAATTTTTTTTGCTAATGCTTTTTTTCCCAGATGCTTTTGAAGTGGTTGTTAGGAAATTTAGTTGAGAATCACCACAGGCTGAGATATAGACTCATCAACCTACGATTCTTTATCCTTGTTTGTAGGTGCTGCCTTCATTACCAAGTTTTTGAAGATTGATCAAAGAAAAACCTAGAGGTTCTAAGATTATCAAAGGTGAATTTTGACATGCTCTAGCCTGAATTTCATGAGCCCCAAATACAGCTATGATACATGCCACCTAGTTTCTTCTGTTTTTTTCCTTTTCCCTGCATCTATGCACAGCAGAAATTTCATTTAAAGAGAAAAACCATGAGTAACCTTTCCAGGTGAAGACGCTTCTTCCCTGAACACCTCAGCTATCTCTGCATTATTTGCTATTCTCCATTTCCAGCTGTTAGATAAGAGCAGAGCAGCGAGAGCAGCTGAATGTTAGTTTTTTGTCACTTACGATTTCTGGATTCTGAAGGCACCCACAGCAAGCTCAGAAATGCAAGAGTCACAGATGAAAATCCCTGCAGCTTCAGGAGGGCCAGAACTTTGCCTCAGATGCTTCCTCGATTTCTAGAAAAATCCATTTATATTCTGTTACTGATCTGTCATCTTAGACCTTCTTGCTAATTTGCTAAGGCAATGCAGCTTAAACAACATGGGGAGAAGCTTAAAGAAAATGTAGTTACCAGCTGAGCTTTGCTGATCAGATTTGGCAGCTTTAAAGCCAATTAATTTTCAGTTCAACCTCCTTCAGTAAAACTGGAAAGCGGATAGTGATGGGATAGGTGCCAGTGTGACTTCATCCACAGCTTCATCCTTCTAAGAGAGCAGTTCTGCCATTTCTTACTGGCATTCGGGTTTTTAAATGGAGCAGACTACCGCAACATATCACTGTGAATCTGTGTTCTGGTGATCCTCTAAGGTAAGAAACTTACACTATGCAATGCAATGCAGCTTTTCCACATCATATTGAAACTTGAGAGGAGAGCAAGAGCTTTGTAACTCAGTTTATGAGCCATGCAAACTAAGGATGATCTGAATCCAACTGAGCTAAAAAGGGTGTGTGATGCAGCAATCCTCTTTTGGCTTTGATAAAATGGATGGATACTGAGCAGTAATTAAAGTCATATTTTTACTTTGATCTTTATGCAAGTAACTGCAGGAAGCTTTTCACACACTTCCTAGAAGTCAGTTTTAAATTCTGCTTTTATTCAACTTCTTAAATGATTCTATACACATCCAGTGCAATATTCTAGAAAATTCAGCTTCCAAAACTTTCCCCCCTTTCTTCTACATTCTTCCATTTGAATAGAATTACCAGAATGATTGGTTCAAAAATTACCAGAAGTTGGTAAAAGATTATATATACTTGTGGTGAGATTTTAAGTCTTCAGACACTAAAGATGCAGATAGGCATCTTATGGGATCTTTCAAAATTCCTAAGCATCTAAGGCGCTTACGTGAGTAGGCACTTTGAAAATCCTACTGAGGACGCAACTGCATCTTTAGGTGCCTTGGAAAATCTCGTCACAGATGTCAAGTTTCAGAGTGTGATAGGTGTGATTCAGCTGTGGCCTTTAATAGGTAAAGGGGTGAAAGGAGGACTAAGTCTGAAAATATTTCAAGTGCACAGTACTGGGGAAGGAAGGGATAGGTATATTATGTTATAACAGCAGGACTAGCTCGCAATTTTCTTTACTACATTGCCTTCACATATAGTACAAATAATATTTTGCATATTTTATGTTTCATCTTTTTTTTAACAGTCAAATGGCAGGAAAGAAAAATTGTTGAAAAAACTCCATAATCACCCTTAAATAAACTAGATTTGTACATATATATATAATAATTAAAAAAAAAAAAAAGAAAAAAAAAAAGATCACTGGAATTCTAGATAGTAATAACATTATCTTTTATTTATTGACACTACCAGAAAAGTTTTGACAATGCACTTTTATATGAAAACACTCTTCATTTCATTTGAAAAGCTGGAGATATATCAAAATACATATTTACATTAAGACTTAAGCTCTTGTTATACATTTCCAAAGTAGTACTCTTAATAGAACTCTCCTATTTCTAAGCTTCTCTTTTCAGTCATGTTCAATTATGTTCGGAGACAACAACGAAAGTAAAATTCAAGGTACATTCTATTATGATTTGGGTACCAAAAGTTAATTTTCTTGGGATGGAAGCATAGGAACAGTCTAAGCAGTGGATTGGCAAATAGGAAATGCTGTTTTAATCTGTAGAATCCCTTGAAGTCACTGTGGGATTCAAAATAAATATTTTGCGTCTTTTGAACTACCACTACTCCTTATAGTGCATATACTTATTAAAACAAATAAGAAGCTAAAGGTGACAAATGTTTCCTGAACTGCTAGAAATATTTACAGAAATATGTATGAAGCATTCATCACATCCAGCATTGTTTATAAACTTTATGTATCGAAGTTGATTACAACAATGAGCATTTCTGCAACGTAACAGACTTCATTTAGCTTTGCAGAGTATTTGCAATCATAGCGAATCTCTGCTTCAGACTCTCTTTTTTCTGTTTTAAGTGGTTTTCTATTGTTCTCGCTTCCTTCAAGATTCCATCAAGCTCTTGCACGTAAGAAGCATCCATTGCTGCTCTCTCACTTAATTGGGAAGGAAAAAAGAAAAAACATCAGCGAAAGTGAAATTCAATACTAAGGCTAATGATTTCCTCACTAGTTGGAGCTGCTTTTATTTTTTACTTTAAAATGGAGTCAATCAATACTCAGTTTCTGACCAAATGCTGTTGTTACTCTATTGTAACAAAGAACATTGCTTTTATTTCAAAATCTACTGTTTATAATTGTAACAGAAAAAAAAAAAAAAAAAAAAATTAACTGCAGCCAGAGTAATCTGTCACAGCAAGAAAAGATGCCCAGAGAGGCTGTGGATGCTCCATCCGTGAAGGTGTTCAGGACCAGGTTGTGCAGGGTCCTGGGCAGCCTGGTGTAGTACCAGATCTGGAGGTTGGTGGCCCTGCCTGTGGCAGGGGCTTGGAATCTGATGACCCTTGGTGTCCCTTCCAACCCAAGCCATTCTGTGATTCTATGACTATGAAGTGCTGTGCAAATGAGACCACAGTAACTTGCCTTAAGATGTGGGCATACTTTGCCAACAAGTTCTTGATTTCTTTATTCATCTCTGTTAAAAGAAAAAGTAACTTCATTCAAACAGTGGAACAAGTCTATCTTGGCATCCAATTACAGCATTCAGCTCGGGGTGTGTGAATACATCACCGTTTAGCAGCTCTTCCAGGGGCTCAGGTTTGTACAGGGACTGCAGGCCATCCGAAAGCGCTGGGTCTGCTGTGTCAGCAGAGGACAGCTGAGGGCTTTCTGTATCATCGGCCTGACAACAGAACACATGAAAACTGTATATATAATATATATATATATACACGCACACAGGTTCTATAGCCTGAAACAAGCTCGGCACCAGAATTTACTTGAAGAGTGTCAAAAAGATCTGGAGTTGCTTCTCACGGAGTGTAGGTGCTGCTGAGGCCCCTCCTCACGGCTCACCTCCAGCTCTTTCCTGCGTTTACTTCTGCTTTCATCAGGTTTCTGCACGCTGCTCGTCATCGTTATCTGATTAACAGATAGATAGCCAGGAATAAAGTACAACATCAGCTGCTGTGCGTGGCTGTGGCGCGGTCGGGAAACACCCGCAGAGACGGGCGCTCCGCACGGCCGCTCCCGCCCGCTCCCTCAGCCGGCGCTCGGTTTTCCCGCCCTTGGCGGCCCTAATGGCGGCCGAGCGAGCAGCGGGCGCGCGCCCCGGGGCGGCCGTTGGGACAGAGCCGGAATACAGGAGCGCGGAGGGGGAATTTTTCGCATCTTTCGCTTCTGGTTTTAAGAGAAAAAAAGATACGTACTGCCCGGAGGTCCTCTGAAAGCCAGAGCTCGCGGCAAGAAATGAAACTGCTGGGAGAAGAACTGAACGCTTCCTCAAAGCAGGGGCGCTGCTCAGCTGGCTGCCAGACGCGGCACAGCGAGGTGATGAGGAACCACGTCCGGATAGACGTCAGAGCGACACACAAATTAAGTGTGAATTAAACTAACATGCTGGCATGTTTTCATGAGCAGACACCTACATTAAAATAAATGAAGTGCCTTTTACCATATTCTGGATGTGATAGTTGATGGAAAGAGCTCGGATGGGAAAGAAGAGCATCTCAGCCGTTCCCTCGCGAGCAGCTCCGGTTCCTCTCAAAATGGAGATGTCAAAGCGTCAGGAGAAATGGAAGCTCGGAACCGACATCAGAGCCAGATACCAGCTCGACCTCGGTCCTTAAACACACAAGTGTGTAAAGACGGAGAGGAAAGAACTCTGGGACCCAGTGGGATGTTTATGGTCTCAAAGGTCGACATGAATAAGCAGTAATAATAATAACCTATTGCTTCCTACACACACTGCAGGCTGAAAGAGATGGGGCTGCACAAACTTCGGGGCCGAGCATAATAATGCCATCGAATGTTTTCACAGGTCTAAAAAAAAATAATTGAGTGCAAAGAAAAAAACGCAATGTTATTTTGAATGAGAAGAAAAATTTTTTAGGGGTAGAAACAAAAAACGAAAACTTTCTATTTCCATCGGAAAAGAGCAATTGTAGTTTATAACTTCTGAAAGGAAGTTGATGGCTACTGGGACAATGCTGAGGAACAAGTAAGCAGGGAAGAAGTCACTTATGTTTTTATTGACCTATCTGTAGATACTACTGCAGGAAACAACCGCCTAAACAGAGTACCTAGAGGATGGTAGAACTGCAGCTCAAGGTAAACACAACCCATGTGCTCCAAACGCCTTGTAACAAATCAGGAAATTGGATGGGGATGATGGAATATTGCTGTCTGGTTTAAATCCTGTCAGCGTAACTCAGTGTAAATGGATGTATACACACATACTCACTATCTGAAAGCAGTGTCACCAAAAATGTGCGTTTCTGTGCTTATCTGCCTGAAACATGAGCCTTTACTCTGTTGGCATACTACAGTGACTGGGCAAAGAAAATTTTTCCTTCTGAGAAATATTCCGTAACACATGAGTTCCCCTTTTTACATGTTATTCTAAATCAATGTCATAAGTTCCTTCCAACAGCTTAAAAAAAGTTATGCATTTCTCTAACATGCCTGTAATTTTCATCAACAGACACCAGCAAAGCACACTGCTCCCTATGGATGGAGCTAACAAGATCTGCAGTTTTTAGGAAAGTGATCCATTTTTGTTTGTTTGTTTTAGGATTATTATTTTACAGAAGAGACTGAAAGAAGCTGCTTTGGCCTCAAAATTATATTCCTCATTTTCAGATGTAAGCCCTAAAGACACATATGGATTTCCACACCACCTCCAAGAGCAGTAGCAGGCATGGAGTAGGGAGAATGCCTCAAGTTTTCTCCCACAGTCCTGAGACCAAACCATGATTTCTCCAAGACTGCAGAAGGCTGCTGCTTATCCATTCCCAAGTTTATTTTCCTGGTTTTATATCATGAGTTGTCCTATCAGCACACAGCACTTACACTATAGTTATGGTGTCTGCACTGCATTTAGCACCCCAGCACTCACCTCCTGAGGAGCATCACACAGTGCAGCTGTGCCACTTAGGTGTTAGCAGTGGCTATTGTCACTTTATTTGTTTGCAATTTTGGAAATGACTTTGGAAGTGACATACAGGTGGTACAACTTAGGAGCCATCATTTCATAGAATAGAATCACAGAATCACAGAATGGCTCAGTTGGAGGGCAGCTCAGTGCCCACCCAGTGCCACCCCCGGCCATGGGCAGGGCTGCCCCCCACCAGCTCAGGCTGCCCAGGGCCCCATCCCACCTGGCCTGGAGTGCCTGCAGGGATGGGGCACCCACATCTCTGGGCAGCAGCGCCAGAGCCTCACCGCCCCCTGGGTCAAAAATTCCTTCCTAACATCTAACCTACATCTCTCCTCTTCTAGTTTAAAGCCATTCCCTCTTTCGTTTCCCCGTTCATCTGGTGCCAGCTGCTAGCCACAACCCCCAGGGCTTTTCTTTTCCTCCACAGGAACACGTATTGTTCCCCAGAAGGACGTTCATACGGAGGAGGAGAGGTGATGTGGAGGTGTCACATCAGAGCTGTGTGTCCCGGTGCTCTTTGGGAACGAGGGCGGCACACACTGCGCCCGACCCGGTTCCGGAGCGTAGCGCAGAACAGCTGCCCGGGGATGGGTGCAGCAGGGAACGGACCGCACCATCGTGTCGGCGTGAAAACGAGATGTGCGCTGACATCTGCGTGAGATAACGGGAGTCAAAACAAAAAAGTTCCCTTCGTAACCTCACATTTACATGATTCGGTTTGTCCACCGAGGAGGAGGAAGTGCCACCGAATAAATGCAGACGTACACAGACAACAGCTGGAACAAGCCCTGCATTCTGCCCACCGCCGCTGTTCCCGGACGGTGATGCAACCCGCCTGAAGTCCTCCTCCCGCGGCCGCTCCTCCCGGCTCCGCGCTGTGCAGGCGGAGGCTCCGAGCGCCGCTCCCGGCACCCGCCCGGCTCCGCCGCCTCCCTCCCGCTTACACCGCGCCACAGCCGCCGAGGAGCCCGGTAGGATCGCGGCCGCCGAGCTCGGCCGGAGCCTGTCCTGGGGAGCGGGCGGCCGCGCGGTGGGTGCCCCGGGGCCGGGAGCGCGGCGAGCCGGGCGGGGACGCTCCCCGTGGGCGGCGGCGCTCCCTGCGGGCTGCCGGTAGGGCGCGCCGAGCCGGGCGGCACCCAGCCGGGCTGCGCTCAGCCCCGCTCCCGCTTCCCCTGCCGTCCCGCTCGCGTCCCGCGCTGCCCTTCTGCGGCCGATGCCCCCCTGCCCCCCGCTGCCCCTGCTCCGCTCCGCCCTCCTCTCCCCGCAGGGTCTCGTTAGGAGCGGCAGCCCCTCGCCTCACAGAGGGGCAAAGAGCTGGATCGCGTTGTGGGCTGTGGGCTTTACCCGCTAAAGCGATGGCCGCCTTTTCCTTGAATGCTTTATCAGTAAATCTGGCACGTGCTTTCCCCTTTTCTTTAGAACGAATAAAAAGTCCTTGGTTTCTTGCTTTGACTTCTTGCATTGCTCCGAATGAGGCGGGCGCTGTTCGGGGTTATTTCCTTGCAGCCCTCGGCTGTGAGTCTCACGCCTGTCCCGCAACCAGCAGCTGGGGCCCGAGAACGTGAAGGAAGGAAACGTTGCCATCCAGTGCACTCCTTACAGTGCTTTCCCAGAGGGACGAGGAAATCGCTGTAATTCCGCCGCAGCAAGCCCTGAGGCTGATGTCTGCTCTTAGTTACCTGGTGGCATTGCTCAGTTAGATTTTGCTTGTTTAATAATTCTTTTCTAAGTGATTAAAAAGAGCCTTGGCAGCGAGTCAGATGTACCGAATGAAAATGAAGTGCTGGTGCAAGTGCTGGTTCTTTCCATTGTTTGCTGGGTTTTACATTTATTTACATTTATTACTCCATCAGTGAGTGAAAGGGAAAAAACTGTTTTGGCAGGAGTTGCTCAGTCTGAATGAAAAACCCCCTGTGCCAAACTACTTCCATAAAGTGATTTCGGCGTTCGTACAGTCATATTGCCCTTGTTTGCTTGATGCTGTCTGTCTGCAGTGTCCGTACGCTCTGCCTTCTCTCTACACTGTATGCATGTGGCCCTGCTGCAGCCTCCGTACAGATGCTGGCTCCTGGTGGCCATGGCTGTGCTGGGAAAAGTGGGCAAAGCACCTCACAAACCTCAGCAATATAGAAAAGGTCATTTAAAAACTATACTGCCAGAGAGAGAATGCCTGTCTTCCCCTGCTGTGCTCTAACTTCCTTTATGCTTATTCTCCCTTTAAGAGTGGTAAATGCTGTTTTAATTTTGAAGAGGAAACCCACATCAGGTTGTTTTTCTTTTGTTGATAAATACATTCTAGTGTTTATTTCTTAGAATTATTGTTTCCCACAGCAGCCATCCCAGCAGTCAAGTCCTTGTCAGGACAAATGTCTCTTTGTCACTTTTGGTTTGTTTTGTCATTTTTTCCCTGGTGTGCTGCAATAATTCAAGTCATCACATAAGCCAATGAAAACTGTTATAAAATCACAGAATTAGAAGGATTATCTACATAATTCTAATGATAAAAAGCAACAGATAAAGGGACCAATTGTCCTTTACATGCAAACAGTTCTTCAACATATAGAGAAACATGCTGGCCCTAGTACAGCACTGTGCACCAGGGGAGAACAAACCCAAGAACTCCCTCTGCTCACAGAGTAAGAAACATTGCTCTTAGCTTCGAATCCTCTTGGTGTGTTTCTGGCAGTGTGAAGATGAGCTGTGAAGAGATCGCCGTGTGTGCAGTACGGCTCAGAGAAAACCTCTGCCTCTATTTTGAAGGTAATTATTGCCCACTGCTGGAAGAGACACTGGGTTTCTGATAACTGCGTAGGAGATCAAAAGCTGCTGTGCAATTCAGTCCTTTCCTTAAGCAGGCATCCCTGACTTTGTGGAATCCCTTCTTTAACTCCACACCACCAGCATCCTCATAGCAGTTACTGTCCCCACACTCTTCATAGAACCATTGTTCTTAGATTATGCAGCCAGGCTGTTCAGTGCAAAAAGCATCTGAGTCTGAGGCAGCTGTTCCAGTGTGGTGGCAGTTCAGCACCATATTGCTGCTGAACACCTTAAGCTTTGACTAACTTCCTCTGTTCCAATGCTGATGAAACCCAATGTCTTTATTGCTCTGATTTCAAGTAATTTTTCCCTAAGCTTCTGCTTGAAATTCTGTTGGCGAATTATTTGCATCAGTGAAATTGTTACTGCACACTATTCCAGTAAACAATCCTCAGAAGGGTTGGAACACTGTGGGGTGATCTGGAATAAATGGCCAGCTTCCCACCTCTCTTTGGGCAATGCTAGCTTCTTTAGAAGCGATTTTAAATTATTCAAAATTTGCTCATTTGGAACAAAGGTGCTGATGGAAGCACAATTTTGCATGCCATTCATCACCTGGTTACAGGCCTACACTGAACTGAGCTGCTCACCTTTAAGTAGCCCTACAATATTTTGCATGCCTCTTGGTTTGGTAATATCTTCAGTTCTCAGATGATGTGGCTTCATTGTTGAGCTTGTTGTGCTCCCAAATGAAACGCTGTGTGGTGAGAAGAGCTCTGCTTGGTGTGTTTGTGATACTGGAAGTGTGTGGCTGGCTGGTTTCCAGTCTTGCAGTACAAAACTGTTTAGAAATTGGTTTCTTTTTGTGAGGCAGAGATTAATGATGTTTTTTTTTCCTCCTCATTGCTCGCTTGGGACCAAGATGATGGTAAGCTGAAAGCCCAGCATTTGTTACTTCCTTATCAACTTTAACTGAA